TGACCCAGCTTTGAGCAGGAGGCTCGACTGGGGACCTCCCGAGGTCCCTTCCAGCCTGCGCCACTCCGCCGTTTGATTAAACTGATCTTCCATTTGTCTTGCTCAGTGACAGCAATGCCATTTCTTTAAACTAAAGCAAGAAAATGTGATTTTGCTTTGAATGGGGCAAGTTTGCAGGTAGCTGTCTCCACCCTGCTGAGGTGGTTGTATTTTCCCTCAGTCTACTTAATGAGTTTCTTGATTTTCTTCCTTTTGAAGTTATCAGTGTAGTCTGATAACCTAATAATCTCAATCTCCTATCTGCAAAGTATGCTATAAACATTAGCCTATGCTCTTTGTCGTATATTTTCAGTGAGTGGCAGCAGCTGCAGAACTGCTTGTTAGCGTGCCCGGCCTCTTGGCTTGCCTCCCAGCTCCAGTGGATATTTCCACTCATCCTTTGACCAGTCTTGTGCCGTCTCAAGCTCCTCTATTTAGTAACGGACCTGTTGCAGGTCACCTACAATAGGTCAGATGTATTTGACGGCTGATTAGATGATAGCTGGAGCTCCAGGCAGGGGTTGGAGGGGGCATTGGGACAGAAGAGTTTAGGTAATCAAGAGAGGGTTTTCGAGACCCAAGAGGACAAAGCCCTGAGCAACCTGATCTGAACTCCGTGCTGACCCAGCTTTGAGCAGGAGGCTCGACTGGGGACCTCCCGAGGTCCCTTCCAGCCTGCGCCACTCCGCCGTTTGATTAAACTGATCTTCCATTTGTCTTGCTCAGTGACAGCAATGCCATTTCTTTAAACTAAAGCAAGAAAATGTGATTTTGCTTTGAATGGGGCAAGTTTGCAGGTAGCTGTCTCCACCCTGCTGAGGTGGTTGTATTTTCCCTCAGTCTACTTAATGAGTTTCTTGATTTTCTTCCTTTTGAAGTTATCAGTGTAGTCTGATAACCTAATAATCTCAATCTCCTATCTGCAAAGTATGCTATAAACATTAGCCTATGCTCTTTGTCGTATATTTTCAGTGAGTGGCAGCAGCTGCAGAACTGCTTGTTAGCGTGCCCGGCCTCTTGGCTTGCCTCCCAGCTCCAGTGGATATTTCCACTCATCCTTTGACCAGTCTTGTGCCGTCTCAAGCTCCTCTATTTAGTAACGGACCTGTTGCAGGTCACCTACAATAGGTCAGATGTATTTGACGGCTGATTAGATGATAGCTGGAGCTCCAGGCAGGGGTTGGAGGGGGCATTGGGACAGAAGAGTTTAGGTAATCAAGAGAGGACATATCTTTGCTTTCTGTTATAAGATGACTTGAAATTGCACTGGAGGCAGCGTGGGGAGGTGTTTGCACTGGTCATTGCTCCTCTCAGCCATCCTTGGGTGCAGTCAGACTGTCCACAGTGGCCCCATGACCCATTCTGCCTGCACTTCCCACCCAGCCTGCGTGTTTGTGCGATGTGACTGCTGAGACCGTCAGCAGGGGAGCGGCTCACTGGTGTCGTGTCGAGGCCTTCGAAAGATACGGGAAGGTCTGATTCTTCCAATCCTTCGGTACCGTTACAGGTCATCTGCCATCTCGTATAGATGGTACTGGGGTTCCTACACTTCAGGCAGTTTTTAAGGTTACGTTCAGAACCACAGTGGTTTTAGACTTAATTTAAATATGAATCCAGACCCTAAGCACAGAGATGCAGAGATTTTAGAGTGACTCGTAACTGGAAGGACACCACGCCAGAAATTAACCAACCATTGAGGAGGTACAGGAGAAATTCTCCAGCAGAGAAGAATGTAGATGTTGGCCTCATTAAAGGCCAGGTCTTGGGTATTTGTTCTCTAGGCATCTAGAAAATGTGTCTGTATCCACTTTCAGTGAGTGAACAAATGAAAACCCGATTCTTGCCATTTTCTTTATATCAAATGTTAAGGGAACTGAACACAATGAGCAGAATGCAACCTTATTTTAGAAGGTGGAAAGCCGGTAATGCTCTTCCTGCCATGAAGTCCTCCTGCGGTCGCCATCTCGGCACAGCTTCAGGGCCGGCTTGGCTGCTCCTGGCAGGGGTGATGCTGGGGCCCGTGGCACTTCTTGGCAATGGTGAGGGAGGTTCTCGGATGCTGCCAATCCCAGGCGGGTGCCCGAGGTTCTTCAGGGCTCCCCTGAGCCCCCGGGGAGGTCACCCGGCTTCACCCAGGGCTTGGCCAGTGGCTGTCCCCGCAGCGGACGCCTGGCGTTGGCTCCCTGAATGTGGAGTCGCTCTGGTGACACTGCCCTAAGGCAGGGGTGCAAACCCCATCGTGGCGGTGGGCCAGTGACACCGGACCCTCTCCGGCTTTCCCCACAGCTCAATGTCGCTCCTGCAGCTGCTCCGTGGGGGAAGATGGGGCACAGGCAGCGTGGCCACACAGCCAGGGCTGGAAGGGAGAACCCCATCACAAAATGGTGATGGGCATCACCAAGAAAAAAAAAAAAAAAGAAAATTTTTAAAATCTATTTTGCCAACATTTTGGCTGGTAACCAGTGAACTCCGTTGTGAAAGCGCGATAACTACCTCTGGCTTATCTCTTCTTTACCCACTAGTGACTTTTGCTCCTTCCCAGTTCATTCATTAGGTAAACAGAGATTTGCTTGGGGAGATACACTCAAGGCCGACACAAATCCTGGCTTGCAAGGAAATGAATTTTTTTTTTTATTTAACCCCTCCCAAGAAGCAATAGGTTTGGCAGTGGTGGGGAAGAGCGCTGGGAAGCGAAGTTTGCCGGGAGAGATTTTGTCGGACTGACTGCAGGTCCAAGCTGTTTTGGCGTGACCACTCTGCACCCTCGTGGCCTCTCACTGCTTTGTGGGGCTGGGGTTGGTGTCTCCAGAGGAGAAAAGGCAGCTCAGCACCAGATGTGGAGGAGACCTGGTGTCCCCGGCCTGCCGTCCTGCTTCAAACTTCAGTCCTGGGGCCAGGCAGTGACATGAGGTTGTGGACCTCCATCTTTGAGATCCCTGGGCACCTCTGGCTGAGAAGAAAGCTCGGCCACACACTGCGGGCTGTTTCAGCACTCTGCTATGGCTCGAATAATGGTGTGGTGTATTTCTGTGTTTCAGGGACAGCCCAACACGCCAGGAGTGAACCGCAGCCCCATCCTCCTGACCAGTGGAGAAAACACCGGGAAAGCCCGGCGCTGACCTCAGGTAGTCCCGCCACGCTGCTTCAAAGAAGCTTCCGCCTTGTGGGTGAAGCAAACAGGAGGAGGATGGCAGAAAAGGTAATTCTGCCCTTGGGATCACATGTCTGGCCACAACTTAATCAGATAATCAGGACCCAGCCACAACAGCGTGTTGGCTGCTTGCCTGGCCGCTGTGAATCAGCTGGGCTCTGCAGGCGCGGAGGCAGCCCGAGTGTCCGGGAGGGCAGAGCGGTGGCTTTGTGGCCTGGGACAAGGACGATGCTCCGCACGCCCATCAGCCTCCGTGACCTGTGCTCTGTGTGTTGGCTCCAGCGCCCGCCTGTCAGTGGCCTGAATTCCTTCTGCAGAGGACAGGCGGTGGCTCGCGTGGGTTTCCTACCTCCTCCTCCCTCCACGTGGCAGGCCTGGTCCTTCTGAAGGCAGTCCTCTGCGACTGGAAATGGGGTATTTCTTCTTTGTGTCACTGGAATTCTGGTTTGGTTCATACCAAACTCCCCACATTACGACTTTGTTCTCAGTCTGAAGTAAAATGGAGAAGGAAGGTCCAACATCACGCCCTTGAGAATTTCTACTACAGTAAATGAGAGCGTTACTCTTGCTCTAGTTGGAAAGTGCACCACCACAGTAGTAGTGTAGGAAGACAGGGCTCGCTGTGCTACAACAGGCAGGTTAACACCAACTGTCATCATCAGTCGCAGTAAGACATAAGTTTTACTTGTGACCGTGACCCTACTGAGCTGCAAGGTCCCTTTATTCAGCAAAGGCAAATTCATTCTGTGACCAAGCCAGAAAAGAAGCTTCCACGTACCAAAATCGTGTGTCTTTTCTCCGTGCGGCTGGTTTCCTTAGCAGAACAGGGTGGCAGATGAATTGCAGAGAGGGCCACACCAGAGCTCCGTGTAACCCCTGTTTCTGGTGTTGGTCAGTAGCAGATGCTGAGAATAAACTATAAAACCAGACTCCTCCTTTTCTCTGCATACGCATCTGCATCAGACTGCCGTGTTCACAAAGCGCAGGTCCATTAGGGCCAGCGTGTTTAAAAGACACTAGTGAACTCGACCTTTGCAAACTTGTTTAACCCTTTTCTGATGCCACTTTTACCTGCTTTGCTCCTATAGAAGTTTCTGATAATTTCATTTTGTCTTATTATTGGGTGCTGAGAAACAAAAGTGTTTCTCAGTCACCTTCTCCGGATCCGCCAGGATTTACAGCCCACTCTGACCACCAGTCACCTGTCTCGTTTCCAGTCTGATGCGTCCTCCTCTATTTAAGCTGTTTTACTATGGAACTTGCTCTGTACCCCTGAGCACCTTTGCTGCCCTTCCCTGACATTTTCTTTCTGTCACTTTTGTCACTTTTAATACACTCGAATGCCAGAGTAGAGGTGTCCTCTGGCCCTTCGAAGCCCACTGCCACCATACAAGTATTCTCAGATTATTGCTGGGTAGATTTATCTACAGTTTCTTCATTGCTAGGGTGAAAAATACTGCTCTTGAGCAAATAATTAATCACAGAGCACCAAATTTTCTAGCGGACAGGATGCTTCAAAGTACGTTAGAGCAGGAGAAGACTTACAGGAGAAGGAGGCCAGGTGGTGGTTTGCCATGTGTGTGGTGTAGTACAACTGGCCAAAAAGAGCAATTGGATGCATCTGTAGAACCAGGTTTCTGAAATGCCGCAGCAGGGATGCCACACACAGGCTGGCCACCCTGCTTTCACACCCAAACACAGGAGTCATTCTTTGCCTTCATCAGTTATTGCCCAGGTGCCCGCTTTTCCTCCCAGGTGACCGTAGGTGTCTATTTCCACAACACAGGAGCTGACCAAGACGTGCTTGCTCATGAACGGCAGCTGCACAGGAAGTCAGGAAAGCAAAGCTGACAGCGCGTGGCTTCCCAACGTGCCCAGTAAGTGCACATGGACAGCTGCAACGCCTGCCACCAAGTCTCCACACTCCTGTATGCCCTTGTAAGTAATCCTTTCACGCTGGTTATTTCAGACTGCGGACAGCTTGGAATCTTATTCTAAAGATGAAGCCGTATTGTTGCACCAGGGTGGTCATGACCAGAAGTCAGTAGTTTGACAATATTTTACTTTGATGATGGTTTATTTTCCAGGAGGCAAATCCCACCTATTCTCACCTCTCCAGACAGAACTTTCTCACTCCCTTTAATATTGCAGACAGATGTGGCTGGCTTGAGACTCAGCTCTGTGTTTTCCAGCACACATTTGAAAGAATCTGCTAGCTTGGGGCATGTCATTTGAGAAGAGTTAAGATGAAGGTATTTCAGAGACAGATTTCCACCAGGCACATGTGTGCTTCTGCAGAGCGGACTTCGTGAGGTCTGGTGTTGCACGGCGGAAGCTCAGGCACCCCAACTGACAGCCGCTCGAGGAGATGCCGTAAAGGCTCTCCAGGCTGTAGTGTAACACACACACACAGCCCGAAGCTGTTGCACCCATCCCGGTGTGCAGCAGAGTTGGCAACAGCAGCGCAGTCGTCAGTCAAAGAGCTGCAGCTCAGCCACCCTTGCTCATTCAAACAGACCGACGCTGTGTGCAAGCAGATTTCTAGGTACTAGCAATGTCTTCACCGATGTCTGGGAGACCTTCGCGAAGATGGATTGCCAGGGCCTGGGCTTTTAGACAAGTAGGAAACGGCCCACGCAGAAGTTGCCCACTCTGCACAAGTGACCCAAGAGTGCAATGCGAGGCGAAGTGATTGCTGTGAGCAACCTCTGTGAACCGTCCTCGCAGCAGCGGGTTTCCTCCCAGTGTGAGGTGAGCCTGCCAAAGCATCCAGGTGAGACTGTACTCATGCTTTCATGGCCCGGCAAACCAGACCCAGACAAGCCGTTAAAGACAAGGCTGTCCTGTAAATGTCAGGGGAACTGTGGACACGTCTCTCCTGTGCCAGAGGTGTAAAACATGAATTCACCTCCAACGTGTGAGGACCTGGAGCCCGTGGGAGGTGCAGCACTGCTCTGCGTGGATGCCTGTCATTCTGGAGCCGGCTGGCAAGCTGGGCAGGACACAGCCAGAGCACGGCCACTGGCACGTGTGAAGCCCAAAACAGCCCCCGGGTCTGGCCCGTGAAGGAGGAGTGGGGTGCTCAGCCTCAGAACATCCAGGCACTCATCCAGCGCAATCCCTGCAGCAAGGGCCCAGGGACAGGATAAGCTCTTTTCAGTCAAAATGTTTTTTTTTTTTCTCAATTATCATGCTGACCAGTATAGCATTCTTGGTTTTTAAGCAATTTAGCATCTGGGTGCCACAGAGCAGCAAAGTGGTGCCAGTTCCAGGGCCCATTCCCTCCTCCCAGCCCGGAGCAGAGCAGCCGGGGGGCCCGGGGCAGCCCCAGCCCCAGGCATTGGCCACCTCTCTGGGGATGGGGGCTGGCTGAGGGGGCCCATGCAGCGTCACCAGGGCAGGGACTGAAACATAGCCTGCTGTACGGCAGTGAATAAAATACACTGGGGCATGTCACACCTTTTCTTTTACTTCGTGGCAGTGCATGGAGAGGGTTGGTTTGTTTTCTCTGCTCTGGGTAAACCACAGATGGCAGCTCATGTGGCAAAAATCTCTGGACTTTCCGAGATTCCCGTGTGAAATCTGATTGAGTTTTGGGGTAGAAGCAGAGGAAAGGGGTGGGGGAACACAAGATGTTATTTTAATTAAGAGTATTAATTATTTAAATGTTCCCAAAGATACAGAGGTAGACTGGTTCTGACAGTCCTTGAGCCAGTTCTGACCTGCTATAACCTCAGCAAGAATCACTTGGTTTGCCAGGACTGTTTTCCCCCTGGACGTCCTATGGAATAACATGCCATGAGTAAAGGCAGAAATCTCAGAGAAAAACCACCCTTGTTGACTGTGACCCTGAACTGATACCAGCAGCTGCAGGACTGGAGTGTCCCCACCGCATCCTTCAGGAGCACCAAAGGCGTTTGCCACTGGTTCTTGTATCCATAGCCCTGCTGCCTTCAGGCCCGTGCACAGAGCTCTCGCAGCTGGGGAAGGAAGCTGCCAGTGCTCATCTTATTTTTGTAGTAAAATACAGCAGCGATTAGGAAAGGAATTTGATAGGAACTGCAGAAAATTTGCCCTAGAGCGAGAGAAAGGCTATTCTTTTTTGGGGACGGTCACTATGGCTGATGGTGATGCCAACGAGCTGTCCTGTTTCTGGCTCCCACCTTCGCCCTCCCGGCCAGGCTCCCTCCGGCAAGCAAGGCAGCACAGGCTGCCTTCTGCTTCCCCGTCCCCTTGCCAGGCTCCACCACTGCAGACTGCAGAGCCACACGGCACCTCACCACGCCACATCACACCTTGCTGGCGTTCAAAGGGCGCGCTAGCGTCTTGTTTACCACAATTACTGGGTGAAGGTAAATAAATGGCCTTGGTTTTTTTTCTCTCAGGCTGACTTCCTGCAATCTAGATGTGTAATGCAATACACAGGTCACTCTCTTGAAAGCCAGGCTCTAGTTAAGCACCGTCTGAAGGAGCTGGAGTCTCCTCATGTCGTGGCTCAGCCCCACTGAAATCCCTGAGCGTTTTGGTGGCTGGTAGAGCAGATGGAAGATGGCTGCAGTGGGGGGGAAGCTCATGGATCGAGTTATTGCCTCACGTTTACCAGCATTCAACGGAGGCTGTGATGTGTGCCGTAACACTTTCCATTGAGGGAGAGGTAACAACACGCGTGTAATACTCCATCATTTCTGGGCTTGAGATGCAAAGAGGCTGGCTCCTTTTGGTAGTAAAGACTTGCACAAAACTACTACCTCTGTACTCCTGCAAAGCAAGAAGCATTTATAACATGCTTGCAAAACCTGGAGGGAGGTGTGTGTGTCTTTAAGTAAATCAGCATGTCATCCCTGCACCATAGGGACTTTCTGTCGGCAGACAGGCATCTGCCTGGCTGTGATAGGAGACCAGGAAAACTTGGGTTCAAGGTTCAAAGGATGATAGTGGGTTAGAGGTGTGCAAAGGAGAGCTGAACAACAAGGGAATGGGGCTTTGTCACCCCACTCAGAGAGAGATGTGCTGGCTATCAACCAGGGACAATGTGTTTGTGGCCCCAATAAACACAGCCCTAGTCAATATTTTCCCTCTGTCTTTTAAAAAGTTCAAGGACACAAGTTTCCTGGCTGCATTCAGTTGTGAGCTGGGCAAACAATTCTTTTTCATTCTGGTTGCAATTGCTGTGACGCAGTTCTTGGCTTCTGCTGGAGTCTGACAGAGACTAGCAAAACCGTGAGGCTGGATTGCGCTGATCCAAGAGTTCAGCTTAATTATTTGCAAAAAAACCCACCACAGTCCTCTGTGGCTTTGGCTTTTCTGATGGCTTGGAGCTGATGGCTTGGAGCCATCCTTGCAAGTCTAGGAGTCCTGGCCAGGCAAGCAACAGTTAGCCTAGAGATAGCTGAAAGTGCAAAAAATAGAGGTCGTGCTGGGTAGGACGGAGGAAAGAGGAGGAGCCTCATATTGCGCACAGCCGCCTCCTAGCTTTGTCACCCGCTGTGTAAAATCCCAAGGCTTGTCAGCTCTTGTCACTTCAATGAGTTGTAGGTCTGACGTTGGGCCTTCCAGAACAAGACGTTTCAGAAAAGCTCTGGAAATTAATTACCTTATTTTTTTATGCAAAAGAATTAATAACTCATTATAAGAGTGATGGAAAAATGGAACTAGCTCCTGTTGCAATGAATTGTCAGTGGGCACCTTTTCTCTTGGAGTCGGGGTGTCTCTCAGTGGCCTTGCGAAAGCTGCTGAAATCTCACTCGGATTTTACCTTGGTACATGTTGCAGAACAGTTGCTTTGACTTGACATATTTTTTTTTTTTTTTTCGCATTATTTCAGGCCAGAAGAAACAAAAATCTTGCCCAACATCCTGAAGAAAATTGGTGGCACCCCAATGGTCCGAGTCAACAAGATTGGGAAGTCCTATGGGCTCAAGTGTGAGCTCTGTGAGTGTCCCCTTCCCTCCAGCTTTTCATGAGGGGAGGGTGAGGGGCGGTGCTGGAGGGGGCTTCGTAAGAGCCTCTGTGGAGAGCAAGCAGAGGCGGGGAGGGCCAGATGTGGCACGTGTTGGGTACTCCTGCTAATTAGGTCACACTGAAGTCCTTTGTCAGACCAAACAGGACGGTTTCGAGCTGCAACAGGCAGGCGGCTAATGGCAGTGAAGGCATCTCTCCTCCCAGATAACTGCAGAATAAGCTCAGAGCAATGCTGGGCTGAATTTGGGGATGGATGGGTGGGCAACATCACAGCGCCAGGCAGAGATGCTGCAGCACCTGGGGCAGCATGCGGTGTGCATGGGACTGACTGGCCAAACCTTCCCAAAACGTGGTAGCTGAGATGGGGCGATGGGCACGGCAGGACCCCCCCAGCAGCCTGACCAGGCTGTGGGGACAGGGCGGGACCCCTCCAGCAGCCTGCCTGGGCTGTGGGGGCCAGGCACCAGCATAGCCCCTGGTCACTGGGCAGAGCCATGCCGGGCTGCGGCCAGGGGCCGTGTGGGAGCCTCATGGCTCCCTGAGTCCCACACAGGGGGAACTCTGCCTTGGCATCAACTGGCCATGCCACCTCCACCGGCTCAGCTGGAGCCCGGCCAGGCGCTCCCATCTGCTGCACCACTGCCCCTTGGGCACCTTCCCAAAACGCACCCCCAGGCAGAGCAGCGGGGGCTGCAGGCAGCTGGGTTTGTCAGTGACACACGTGCCAGGCCCCGGTGCTAAGAGCCAGGCCAAGGCACCGGCTGCGGGGCCCAGTTTCCAGCAGGACTCAAGTCTTGCTCCCTGGGCAGATGTTAGTGTGGTGCTGGTGCTGTCTCACTAACGGTTGTTTTCAGCCTGGTCCCTACAGAAATAAGGATGATACCGTTAGGCTGTCTCTGTGCATATGGACTTTTCAGTCTCCTTTCCTATAATTTTGAATGCTGTTGGTTAATTTCAGCCAAACTGGGCAGAAAGAAGGGTGTCCTGCAGGCAGTAACATTCATGAATTTCACATAGCTGGGCACACATCCACATGGAGCGTGCTGTGCTCTTCAACCAGATCCCTCCTCTGGATCTGGGCTCCTCATGCAACCCCCTAACCCTGCAACCTCCAATATTTGCAGCACCTCTTGCTTCATGGAATGGCACCTCAGGGTACATTAGGGGACAGTGTAGCAGAGGTGACACAGGCAGGAGGACAGGTCTGCAATGCCTGGTCCCCCTCTGAAGCAGTCTGTCCCTTGGAGGACGTCTTGCTGGCGCAAGTGCCTGATGGGAGCTGGAGGATTTGGTGCAAACAGCAACGATGAAGGCGGGGAGACCCTGTTTGTTGGGATGGTGTCTCCCTCCCCTGGCTCAGAAGAGGAAGCAGAGCAGGACAGGCAGAGCAGCTGCATGGTCCTCTCTGAGCTGCAGGTCAGCACGGAGCCTCTTAGCGAGCAAATCCACAGAAGCTTGCAGCACTGCCGCGTCACGGAAGCAGTTACGGCTGGACACGATTACCTTGTAATCTCTGTGCCTCTGGGGATCTCTGTGTAGCTGAAGTTTTGGCAGTCTATATTATAAAATGTAATGACGAGCACAAGATTTTGGTTTCCCCATTGTTCTGGCTGCTGAGGTATCTGCTTGACTGGTCAGCCTGAAGTAGCTGTCTCTGCTAGGACAAAGTGAACGACAGCCTGAAAGCACCCATTTCGCCCTGTTGTCCGTCAGCCAGAGCTCAGTGCCATCAGTTCAGATGTAGATGCTCACCAGAACCTTGGTGAGCAGAGTCCTGCCCCAAGCATCGGCGATGTGGAGGGCCTGGTTAAGAGCCAAGGTGTGTGTCGCAGTTTGAGCCTGCCTTGGAAAGTCTCCATTAGCTGGTTTTTTGGTAGCTTAGTAAAGAAAACCTAATTTTGTCTGACCCTTTAAAGTCCATTTCTGTTGTTTGTTTTTCTTTACGGCACCCCATTCAGGACTACAGATCATCCCTACAGAAGGGCACCTTTTTAGATACCTATTAATAACTGCCATGCCCCAGGAAAGACCATGAGAGCTTGCTGAGACCCTGACAGTGTCTTGCTCAGAGAAAAGTCCTTGAGGCAGGGCAGCAAGGTGCATCACACTGGTGTGGGACCTTCCACCTAGGAATCTCTGTGTGTCCAGTCGATTTTAAACCCGTCCTGGGCTTACCAGGCTTGCCTGCTGCCTTCAGGGTGCTGCAGGTAGAAGAAACAAGGGGGAAAGATGAACTGTAGGCAGGTATGCTTGTGAGTAATCCCATGACAAGCTGCAGCACCCTGTAAGAAGAAGGTGGATGTGCACCCCTGAGCAAAGGACCATCCCACATAGGAGGAATGGGTGTCCTCTGATGACTGCAGTGAGGGCTGGGGGAGCAGGGAGCTGGGGACTGCGGGGCAATCTGGTGCTCCCACCTGCAGCTTGTCCCTGACAGACCCTCACCTTTTGTCTCCAGTGGCAAAATGTGAGTACTTCAACGCGGGGGGCAGCGTGAAGGACCGCATCAGCCTGAGGATGGTGGAAGACGCAGAGAGAGCCGGGATTATAAAACCGGGAGACACGCTGATCGAACCCACTTCAGGAAACACAGGTGGGAAGGGCAGGGATGCTCCCTCCGCCTGGGTACTGGGCAGGGAGGCATTTCTGAGGGGCTGCAGGAGGGGCAGGGGTGCAAGGAGCTCTTGCGCTTGCAGCTACAAGGTCAGGTTGGGGCCCCGCGGCTCTGGCTCCATCCTCCCCTCGGCTCCCTCCCGGGGGGCCGTGGGCATCCTGGGGTGCTGAGGTGCCTTGTTGCTGAAATTGCCAATGTCCTTTGAGGCCAGAGACAGACCCCCTTGGCGGCCGGGGAGCCGCTGGCTCCATTCACCACCTTCTGTGAAACCGGAGCGAAGGCCCCCTTCGCCTGCTCGCCACAGGGTGACATGTGCAGCTTCGTGTGTGTCCCCCCAAAACTGAGAGTGTTTGAGGCAGAGGGGGAGGCACTCCTGAAGCAAAGTCACCTCTCTCCTGTGCTTTGGAAAAGAAAGGAAGAGGCCTGAGCCCCGGTGAGGGGAGGATCGCACTCCCCAGCCTTGCCACTCGCTCTGTGGCACGCCAACAGGCTCCTGCAAGCAAGAGGGATGCTGCAGCTCGGCTCGCCTGCCAGCATGTCCCTCCATGCTCCCTGGTGCTCCCGGCACATCCCGAGAGGTTCGCGGAGGATGCCCTCACCTGTCGCCCATCCCTGAACATTTCTAGGCTACGCTCACTGGCGGGAGAGCGGAATGTAGGAAGCAGCGCACCTCAGTTGGCCCGGACAAATGCTGTGATTAACCAATTCCCTTTCCTCCCCACCACCTAGGAATCGGGCTGGCACTGGTAGCTGCAGTGAAAGGTTACCGCTGCATCATCGTCTTGCCGGAGAACATGAGTATGGAAAAGGTCAGAGCTCTGTACGGTATTGCCCCCCAGCCAGGGAACATCTCCCTCCCTGTCTCTCTCTGCCTCTCCCTTTCTAGAGATGGAGAGTCCTCTCCTTTAAAGGGTAACGAGCCTCACTGCACACACTGACATAGCTTTGTAGTTACTCAGAAGATTTCTCCTTAGGAAAAAAAAAAAAGCACACTGTGGTGATCTGGCTGATTATCTAGCGTCAGCGGTGCAGCTGGGGTCACGCATTAGACAACCGCGGTGCATGGCTGCAGAGAAACAGAGCGATGCCTGCTGTCCGCAAGGGAGAGGGCAGGATGGAGAGCAGGAGAGGCAGGCAGGCACTGGGGCTCAGCTGCTGATCCTGCTAACTTCCCTGCTGACATCTGATGTGTCACTTGGTCTTTCTGTGTCTCTGAGGTTTTCTTTAACCTGGAGACACCTACGATCGTCTCAGCCTGCTTTCTCCAGACAGTGGAAATCGAGTCACTCGCAAGAGAGCTGATGATCAGGTGAAACTGTCATCCCAGAGATGGCAGAAACCTTTGTGCTGGGGAGCCAGAAATCTCACAAACTGCTCAGCTGAGCTCATACCAGTGAAGCGAGACCTGGACCCTGACTTGGCTCAAAGATGAGCCCTGCTCTGAAGCACCACCCTCATTTCAACCTAGATCTCACCTCAACTCAGTCTGGATCAGACATCACCTCCAGCTGCCGTGGGCTTCACTTCCAGGCACCCTGACACTCATCCACCCTCCTCTTTTGATCCCCTCTCTGCTCAACAGCCACATCTCTCCACGAATTAATACCCTAGGGCTGATTTGTAGTTGCTCCTTCTCTGTGCTTGGTGAGGGAAGAGAAGGGACTTGGGGCAAAGACAGCTTTAAGACCTCCTCCTTGCATCCAGGGGCTCAGACCACAGCACACAGGAGACGCTGCCCCCTACCCTGGTGCCCTCTGCCCCTTTCCCCAGGCCCCGAGGAGCAGCACAGAGTCACCCACCTCCACCGCCTCCCCAGCCTGCCCCCCGGGTAGGACGGGGCACGAGGCCAGGCTTGAATCCGTCTGCTGGCTTCAGGCAGGAGGCCCTGGGTGCCTGGAGCATGTCGGAGTTAGCATAACCGAGAATCGGACATTGTATCTCCAAATGTTAAATGTCTCCTGCATGCAGAGCTCCTCTGGCCTCTGACGCTGCCGTGAGCCCGCAGGTTTGTATTACCGTCGCTATGTGGGATCGGTTGCGTTACATCTACTCTCTTCCCTCCCAAAGGTCGATGTTCTGAAGGCACTGGGTGCTGAAATTGTGAGGACGCCGTGCGCCCGCTTTGATGCCCCGGAGTCTAACATTCGTGTTGCCTGGAACCTGAAAAGTGAAATCCCAAACTCTCACATCCTCAATCAGGTAAATGCTGTTCCTCCACCGACTCTTTCCAAACACGGTTCCTAGCATGTGCTCCAAGTGTGCTGGCATCTGGGGGCTTCGTTCAAACTGGCAACGGAGGCAGATCTCCCCAGTGTTTCATGGAGTTTGAAACTTAATCACTCCTCTGTAAAGCGTGGGGTGGCAGAAACAAAATAAGGGACACTTCCAAACCTGTAATGCTTCTGCCAATGCCTGGATGTGGCCGAGGCTGGGTTTTCTTGCACAGTCCAATTCTCCTCAAATTGTTTCAGATTTCACTATGACCTGAAAAAAATAACACGTTATGCCTGGCTAGCAGCCTCTGGTCTGCCTCACGCTGGGAAGGGCAAACACTGAAGATTCACACCAGTGGTTCCTGCAGCACTGGGTTTTGTACGGGAGGGCACTTCTTCCTCCGGTCTGACCCCGCTGCAGGAATGGGTCCCTATAGTGGGCAGGGAGCTGCTATGGTGCAGAAAAGTCAGGGAAGACATAGATGTCCTTCCTGTTAACAAAAAGGGAGCTCAGTGTCTAAATATGATTTCCAGAAGCAGCCTGGTCTACATGTGTGCACACATTGCAGTTCCGTACCTGTGTATCCCCTGCGGTAAATCCCTCTGTAGAGGTCGGACAACTACTCTGGCCCACATCCCCCAGCCACCTAACTTGCTGCGCTGCCAGCCACAAGTGCCTCTGTGGGACAAAACAGATCTCAAAATTAGATAGAAGATACTTGAAAAAAGTATTCTAATATGGCACTTAAGGTAGGATTTTGAGTTTTGTTTTCTGAGCTGCTTAGAAGTATTGTGGGGTTGTGTTTCCAACATTTCAAGGCAACAGAGAAGGCTAACAACATTTCTGCCTAAGCAATAGTCGAAATACTGAGGAGCTTTCTTGTGGCCAGCAGCTAGGGCTTTAACAAAACCACCAGATCCCACAAAACCTGGCAATGTGGCAAATGACGCAGCTGCACTGTCCCCACACCAAATAGGCACCAAGTGCCAGAGAGCAAGAGTTCGTGGGTACATTTAATCTTCCAGTGTGGACAAATCCCAAGTGTCCTTAGAAACCTGTTCCAAAACGACAACCAGGATGAACACCTATGACCTGGCCTGGCTGGGCAGTTGCATGCTTTGGGTAAAGCTCGTCAGGAACTATTGCTAGTTTGGTATTTGACCTACACTTCACACAGTAACTCGTGCTGTTCTCTGTTGAAATAAACAGTACCGAAATCCAAGCAACCCCCTGGCTCATTACGACACCACAGCTGAGGAGATCCTGGAGCAGTGTGAAGGTACCGTCTGCGCTGTTGTTTCTGCGTGCTGAGGGTGTGCAGAGGGCTACAGCCCTCTCCGAGAGGCTTATTATACGTCGTTTATTGACCTAAATGTCTAGAAACGGCCAAAAGGGCCTCCGTAGGTGAAAGCACCCTTGACAATACTGACACACAGAGTATAGCAACTTCACGTAATCCACTCCAGATCTGCCGGAGCCTGCAGGGCTTCCCTGCTGTGGCCTCCCGTTTCTCCTGCTAAAGGAGGAGACCAGAGGCTTAACAAAGTCAGGCTGTACCCAAGGAGGAAGAGCCCGTCTCTCGGTGGCTACAGCATCTCTGCAAGGATGACATCTCTGCCACCACGACATATCTGTGACCTGTTGGCTGAGGGCACAAGATGGCCCAGGAGGTCTCACTGGGGAATATAAACCCATCAGGGCATGGAAGGCTGCATCTGATCCAGGGCATTCACTGGCAAATCAAAATAGACTGAAACTCCACAGACTAATGACATTTCATGTGATGGATGGGGGAGGATAAATGACTATCACAGTCCATGTCTGTGCAGATAGAAGGGAAGTTTATTGCCAGCACTGAGAACAATCTAAAATGTAAATAGGACTCAAGGGTTTTAACTGGAGAGCAGTTATCATAATTGCAAAGCAGTTGGGGAGCAACAAAAACAAGAGTCCCAGCCTTCCCTCCACTAAAACATTTAGATTTTCTACTATTGGCTGCCAGCAGTGAAATATAAATCCCTTTTTCCCAATGTAGTTGTAGCATAAGCCTCTGAAGGCCTGAATCTAATTCTGCTTCTACTAGTCCTAAATCAGTACAATTTTGTTGATGCCAGTGGGGCTGCATCTGACCTATGCTAGTGCCAGGCAGACCTCTGCCATCTCTCCACTGTGGATGCTAACACCAGCTGAAAAGCTGTACCTGTCATTGCTACGTGTTGTTAATCACATGCATGCTTTTCTTCGACATGGTGTGGTTTGAAAAGGCTGGAAATGCTGAGATGGTTCCACGCCCTTAAGCCAGTAGATGCCAAAGATGCAGAAATCACAGAGTCCACTGGGAGACCTGGAGGTCATCTTCAGCCGCCCCCTGCACTGAGGCAGGATCAGCTGTGCTCAGATCCCACAAGCTCACCTGAGCTTCTCTGCAGGACGATGCTTTGGCCGCTAGCATGACCTCTGCCTGTCTGTTCCACACACGGGGCAGTAGCAGCAGAGGGACATGCGGTCTGCATCTGCGCAGGGCCTGACTAAAGCAGAGACCATGTCAGAGGCCATGCTGAGTCCTCACAAGCCTCTCTTCTCCCTAACCTGCAGGCAAGGTCCACATGGTGGTGATTGGGTCTGGCACAGGAGGCACCGTCACTGGTGTTGCCAGGAAGCTGAAGGAGAAATGCCCAGAGTGCAAGGTAAGCTGGGAGGCAGGGCTGCCCGCTGGGACCTGTGGCCCCGCATCTTTTCCTGCCCACACTTTTGATCAAGCCCAGCCCCACAGCTCACCTGAGCAAGCTGTTGTTGTCTCCACCTATCTTTTTTTTTCACAACGAGCTTGGCTTTTGTTGGAAGCAGTTTGGTGGTGTGCTCAGCTTGACCTAGATCCATCCGAGTGCCTTAGAGGTCAAAGGCTCCACAGCCTCCTTCCTAATCCCGCCCTGCCCAGTGCCCTGCCCTTTGCAGGGCGCAGCCAGATGTCCCCCAGAGAAGTGGCTGGCTCAGCTGGCATCACTGCTTCCGCTCCTGGTTACCCTGGCTGCTGAAAGCTTCTGCTCCAGCAGCCCCACGGGGGCACAGACTGTGCAAGCACTTCTCATCTGCCGTTGCAAAAGCCTCCGTGCTGTGTGGCTGACACCAGCCACAGACGCTCATTCCGCAGAACTGGTGCTTCAAGGCAGGCTGGAGGCTTGACGGTTACTGCTTCCCCGGTGCAGCCGGTGTGTGAGCGATCCCTGATCCACCGATGGCAGACAGAGGTGGTGTGGGCCCAGCCACTGGGGGACCTGGGTGTGAGATAACCTAGCCGACTGCTCGAAGCTGCGTGTGGAGCAGTGTCGCCATCACTTCTTAAGCTGGGTGCTTAAGAAGCCTCAGCCCAGACATAAAGCTGTAAGCAACCAGGGATGTGCCACTATCAGCCAGCACAACTAGATCCAGAAAGGATGTCTGTAGCCATGGGTTTCTACAGGTTTGACCTCACTAGCTGGCTTTGTGCTGGAGCAGATGAAGGACCACTCACACTATCTTAAGGGTTGAGCTTTGGAAGTAGCAGGCTCTGCCAAAAGGGTGGTGACAAACACCTTGAGAGTGATAACATTTTAAGCCACCAGTCACTTCTGCAGCAGCTGAACATTACTTCGGATCCATTTAAGAAGACGGTGGGAAACAGTATCTTTTTATCCTGGAAGCTCTCCATGCTGCCAGTGGATAGGAATATTAATATCATGGAAAGGAAAAAGTTGCTGATAATGGCATGGGTAATTTTTCCTTGGTGCTGTGTGTTTGATTATTTCTGAACTCACTTTTTGGTTTAACAAAACCTCCTCCCCTCAAAGATCATCGGCGCAGATCCTGACGGCTCCATCGTCGCTCTGCCCAGTGAGCTGAACCAGATGGACACCACGGCCTCTGAGGTGGAGGGCATTGGGCATGACTTTATCCCAACCGTCCTTGACAGATCAGTAAGTAGCTGTGTGATGAGAGTCCCTGTCTGATCTTTGTCCTTGCATCCAACCTACTCCCAGTTTCAGAAGCAGCCAGCTCTGGCCCCCAGCTGCGGCCCAGCCCTAAGGCCGCTCGTGTACCTTCCCAGTGCAGAACAAGCTGTTGCGTGGGGATTGGGACCCCAGCGCTAAAGCGTCTCTCTGAGTAAATCTGCTTATAACTGACCTACAAGCAGAAGCCACATACAGGGGCCACGGTACCAGCTGCATCAGCTCAGCCTCACCCGTGTTCAGAGCGTGTCCCTCGTACTGCAATCGCACAGAAGAGGTCAGTGCTGAGGCTGCTTTTCATCACGCGAACGTTTCCCGAGCCTTTGCTGTCGTAGGCACCACATGCACACGGCAGAAACCCTGCACCATTTGTGGGCTGGGAGAGAAGATCCAAGCCATGTAAGACACAGATTATGAACCTCGTACAGCTTCTTGTCAAGTTTCTTCTTTGTGTATCAGTTGCCACCAGGTACAACGCTTTAAAGACCTACCTCAAGCTGCCTGTGCTCCCCCAGTCTCATTCTTAGAAAGGTCCCCCACAGCCTCAGATCCCAGATTCTTTCTGTTTTCAGGTCTTATGTTAACCATATCTCTGCTGTCGATGCATGGCTTTAGAGCTTTGACCTGTAGTAAACCAAAACTCTTTTTGTAGTTGGATCTGATTTGCCTGGTAAAGTCTTGACCACTAATGTAGCCTAGCCTGGGACATCGTGAACACCACTCACTCTTCTGCATCATGACTGTGGACCTGTCAGATCTCCCTAACTCTCCAAGGAAAGGGTGCTGGCTGGAAAGGCTACAGTGGGTGCCTGCGAGCAAGGACACACCCTCCAGGCCAAGGATTCCCTGACAAGTGAATTTGCTTTCAACAAGCGTGGGAAGCGGCTTGGGGCTGCCAGATCCCACAGGCATCAGCACCACGGCATGCCTCGGAGGGTCAGGACAGCCTGAAATAACACCGCCAGGAACCAACCTTGTTGCTTTCTCTGCAGGTGGTTGATCAGTGGTATAAATGCAACGACAGAGACTCGTTCCTCATGTCTCGCAGGCTGATTAAAGAGGAGGGATTGTTGTGCGGTAAGCACCAATGACAACAGTTGCTTCTCTTAACAAACTTTCTGAAGCTCATCCTTTTGGGACCAAACCACTTTGGGGTAGGTGCTCTCTGCATTGTGTGTCTGCTAGGTTAACGGGGCTGAACGGCCGAACCCTGAGCTGGTGTGTAGGTCGCTGTAGACTTCAGAGGTGTGGCAGTGAGTCCGTGCCCTGGGATCTGACTCATCGGTCACAATAATTATAGAAGCAATAACTCTCCTCTTACCGGAGCACTTTTGCACATGGAACTGGATCTTCAGGTCTAATTCTGTGTGGTGTAGTGTTACACGGGCTGAAAAGAAGATTAATGGGACCCAGGGCAGGACAGGTGGGCTAAAACTGTCGCTCTGCTAACAGCTCCGTGAGGCTGTACTCTCTGTCGTTGAACGGTTGCCACACCAGAGGTGCCAGGTTTGGGCCAGGAAAGTTTGAAAGTAAATAAAGCGTAAGATGGTCTTACTGAGTATCTCTCCCCATGCCAACAAGATGTAAGTGATCCCACCGGCTTTCCAAAATGAGCAGGTGCCCTCTGACAAACCCTGCCTGTGCCCTGAGAACCTCTACACGGTATCAGGGTTTTTTCAGCCTTCCCTGCCGCTGAGCAGCTAGCTATAGGTTTGCATCCAGGACCAGGCAATAAGTAGGCTTGTTGTTATAGCTGAGAGAAGTGCCGAGCGCTCACATCCAGGGAGTTTTGGAAAAGATCAGGTCATTTGTAATGAAACGTTTCAATGTTGATTTAACCTAGCAGGCACAGAGTCACTGTGTTTCAACAGAAACCACTTGCTATAATTTATGAATAGCTTCATGTTCCCAGAACTGCTTTTTTCAGGGCCTTTCCTCATTTGTTTGAAAAATGTGACCCAGTGCTAATTTAACCTGCTGTAAAATACGTGCTGCCTTGAATGCAGTGTGTTATTGGCACACAGATAGAGGAATGCATTTGACTTCCATTACTCAAACTACTGGTGGAAGAATTGCTGTTGTAAAGCAGGGACCTGCTTTCCCTA